AGATGCTTTCCATCCATAGATCATTCTTCAATGACTATATCCTTAACTGCTACACTTGAAACAGAGAATACACTTGAAAACGCAGTGGACAAGACAGAGGGATCACCAGGGAGAGGGCCATCCTTCTCTACCTGGCTTACTCTTTTCCCATCTCCATAATGGGAGTGGGAGGGGCCTCCGGTGCAACCATTGCTTCAGTGACAGCTCCATGTAATGGGCGCCGAGGGCTCCTTGTTTTATTTGGGCAATTGCGAGCCAGATGGTGGAAACTGCCACAGTAGAGGCAATGCCCCTCGTCAATCGGCTTCTGCTTTTCCTCTGGGGAAAGGCATTGGCGTGCGGCCGAGAGATCCATTGGGGTGGGCCCAAAGTTGATGCTATTGTTATCGGTCGGGTGCAGTGCGGGGGGCACAGTGGCATGGGGTATCACTCGGGGCACTGGCGCAGCATTAGCCTTGTTGGACCCAGAGGGATGGTGGGTCTCAGCCCTTCATGCACGAAACTGCATATCATGCTTCTTGATATGAGCAAAGTATCCGGACCAGTCCTCGGGGAGATCTTGGGTGCTTAGGATGTCCTTGAGCTCTTCGCTGAGGCCACAATAGAGGGCGGCCCGTTTCGCGGCATCATTCCATTGTAGGTTGGCAACAAGATGTTGAAACTTGGTGTAGTAACTCACGAAGTCGCGGTTGCCTTGTCTCAACTTTGAGAGGGCACGTTCCACAGTATTGGCATGGTCAGGGTTGCCGCAGGCCTGATCCAGTGAGGTAACGAAGGCGTCAAAATTGTCCAGGTCGACATTGTCATTGTCTATGAGGTGAGTGAGCTGTTTGAGGGCAGCTCCTTGCAGCCTGGAGAAAGCATAATGCAATTTTGACTGCTCATCAGGGAACTCCCCAGGGCAGTCGATGAGTTGGAGCCTGACGAGGGCGATGAACGATCTCAACTTGTGCTGGTCCACCCCAGTAAATTTCTCGGGATCGGTTTGTCCCTTGCGACTGCCCATCTGGCCTCCGCCATTGGTGGTGGCTGCTGTGGTGAGGGCCAATGTTTGCATGAGTTGGGTTCTCAACTGGGTCAGCTGGGTGGTCACTGTGTTCAGGTTGGCGGTGGCGGCATCCCATTCATTGGTAAGGGTTTTGATGTTGGACAACAGGGTGGTGAATCGCTCAGTCAGATTTTTGCTTGCATTGATGGCATGAGCAAGCTGGATGGCGTTGTTGTACCGGGTGTGGAGCATGGCAGGGTCGAGGTTGTCTGCAGATGCAGCGGCGAGGGCCTCGAGGCCACGGGCACGGTGTGCCATGATTCGGACAATGGCGAAGGACTCGGGCTCATCATTGGTGGGGGGGTAATATGTTTTCGGACATGGTGATGAGTTCGGTGGAGAAAATGGTGTTTCGATGCAATGTAGTGTGACAGGCAGCTGGGGACAAGAACAGGCTCCAGGGAACTCATGGCTGGACAGGGGGCAACATGGAAGTGGGGAACTGGGGATCCCGAGTGTAGGGCAGGGGCGAGCTGGACCAGGGAGTGGGGAAGTCAGGTGATCTAGGTCAGGGGATCTAGGGCAGGGCTGGGTAACAGGGATGGGGGTTAGTCTTGGGCTTGGGGTCAGAGGATGATGGACAAGGAGGGGCAGGAACTGGAAGCAAGATTGTATTGTAGAGATAATACAAGACATTGCGTGAGGAAGAAAGAAAAGAACAGCAGACAGTGGGGGGACAAGTCCCCTTATATACATAAATCCTCCCCTGAACACTTCCCTTCCTTCCCTAGCCCATAGTCTCAATAGAAAATTCCTTCACTGATAATATAACCCATAAGCAATCAGATGGCCTATGTAAGCAGGCATAAGCAAACATAATGAACCATAAGCATATACAGATGTGCATAAGCAGGCAGCACATGTGAGTAACATAAGCAAACATAATAAACCATAAGCGTAAAATAGATATTCATAAGTACATAGGTAAGCATGCAGGAGCATTGATAGCATAGGTGTTTGCCAGCAGTTGTGAGGGGGATTGAGCCGTGACAATCCCCATCACTGATAACATAATGCAGAATTACCTGGCACATGATGTTTTAATATGTACCACATGTGTCATATCCTGTTTTGCTATCAATCTTCAGCCTTCACAACCTGTACCTCAAAAAACCCCATCAAGTACTTTCATGCACTGCTGATTCAAACACCCTGACATCCAAACCCCCAGCCCCATAAAGATAACTGCAATGTCAAATATATGAAATACATCATGCAGTGACTTCTATGGCTATGATTCATTTTACCATCCATTACTGTCAGCCATCTGGAGAAATATAGTGATGCCTGATGAAGAACTGGCACATAAGCCATGGACACTAAATAATTTCAAACTCCTTGTCACTGTATCATAAAAGATATCAGGATGCTTTAAGATAACAATGCTATGCAAACAGCCAACAGACCCGGTCTGACATCTTCTGTAATTGACATCAAAAATAATGACAGCATGATACCAGTATCTAACAAGATGATATTAGAACTTTGTGTTCCAATAAATTGGTGTTCTTCATTACGGTGACTACAGGTCAGGTGCGGCAATAGGTTACTTCACTGTCTTCCATAGACTCTGTCAGTACAGTCTAAGATGCAGGTCTGTCTCCCTCCGCAACCCGCTCCCTTTACCGTGCGTGTGTTCTTTCCAGAGCCGACTTTGGAGCAGAGATCTGGTGGTCCGGACAGAAAGCTTTGGCCCAAAAACTTCAACTCCAGCAAAAGGCCGCCCTCCGCCGAATTCTCAATGCCTTCTCCTCCACCCCGATCACAGCGCTACATAACGAAGCCGCCCTTCCCCCAGTCCCCATCCACCTAAATCACAAACAAAGAAAATATGCCCTCCGCCTCTTGACCCTTCCCCCCTCCCACCCCGTCGTCAGATGCTGCCCCTCCTCCTTCCCTGTCCCCAACCACTTTAACACCTCCATCCGCAGCCCGCATGAATACGACTGCAATTGGACGAGTCCCACATGCCCACCCTCACGCCTGATCACTCTGCTCACCCCCTTACACAAATGGACCCCCCCCACGGCCACGGTGGAAGACACGGCACAGCCTGACGCCATGCCATGGCACCCTAACCCGGTGAATATCGAGATGTCTCCATGCCCGAAAGACGAAGCGGCAGCAGACCACCTCCATCTCCTCCACCAGCTCCGCCGATCAGACACCAACGTTATAGCCTACACCGACGGCTCCCAGCTCGAAGGAGCAACCGGAGCCGGCTACTACATCCCACGAGGCCTACACCACGAAATCCGAGCCATCATCCCCATGGGCCAGTCCTCCGAGGTATTCGACGCAGAAATAAAAGCGATAGACGAATGCCTAAGAACCTGCCTGAAATACATCCGTCTGCACAACCTACGAGACCGCACCATCCACATTTTCACGGACAACCAGGCGGCAATACTCCGCGCCGCACGTCTCTCCCCAGGACCCGGCCAAGAACTCGCCCGAACCATCCACACCACAGCGACAACCCTCCTCCGCGCAGGCTCCCTCGTCACTATCCACTGGGTACCCGGACATACCGACATAGCAGGCAACGAAGAAGCGGACCACCTGGCCAAACTTGCCACCTCCTCCACACCATTCACGCCTCTACCAATCTCCCTCTCCTGGTTAAGGTGCCAAATCCAACATGCATACGTTGAAGAATGGACCTCGTGGTACAACTCCACACCGAAACCCAAGACATATGCCGCACCACACAAGCGCAAGCTGGATGAAGCATACACTACCCTCCCTCGAAAGCTGTCAACGGCGATACTGGGACTTCGCACAGGACACGGATACTTTCTCGATTGCCTCGCCCACCACCCCACCGACAAATACCCCTCCCGCTTGTGCACATGCCCCCTCCATCCCCCACAAACCCCCAAGCACCTCCTACTCTCCTGCCCCCTATACACCGCGCAGAGAATAGAACTACGACGAATGCTGAAACTACCTCGACACGGACGACTCACCGCCAACCACATCCTCTACACCAAAGCCGGAACCAAAGCCCTGACCACCATGATCTCTGAGACAAAGATCGCCACTGCCGAATGGGCACACACAAGGTTAGGTTGCAACCCCACGGAGCGGAGCTTACCCGAAGCAGTGACCCTGACCCTAGGCTGGGGAACATTACAAGACCCCGATGACGAGCACAATGAAGAAATGTAAAGAAAAAAAAAAAAAAAAAAAAAAAAAAAATATATATATATATGTATGTAATGACGGAGGAAGGGAAGGAGAGAGGGGACGCAGTCGCAGCGAGGCGAAGGGTGATATACGATGGATTTCCCAGTTTTTTCTTATGTTACCGGGGAAGGGAGGTGAATCGGAGACGACGGGACGGGGAGGACGAGAGACGGGGATGTGGGACACTGGAAAAGAGGACGGCGAAGAGGGAGAGAGGAGAGGTTGGGAAGGGGAGAAGGAGGAACGGAGTGGGAGTGCAGAGAGAGGCACGGAAGGGAGCAGGGTGCTGACGAGGGGACGTTTCTTTTGTTCACTTCATTTCATATCCTATGTACTTTGCTTTCGGAAAAAAAAAAAAAAAAGGGGGTGATTAATGGGACGGGGAAGGGAGGAGGACCGGGAGGATTACCCGGCGAGGAGGCCTCCGAGCAAACAGGGCTCATGGACCAAACGACGAGAGATGCAAAGAACCAACAGACACAGCAGGGGGGCTACAACCCCGCCCAGCAAGACCGCTCTGGGGCGTTCCCAGTGGATACCAGGAGTAACTCCCTGGCATCTAGCAATGTATGAGAAGAGTAGCATCCGCCATAACCCTACGGTTGCAAGCATGTATGAATAATAAATAAATAAATAAATAAATAAATACAGTCTAAGATGGCTCGTTGCTCAAGCTGAGCTTGTGGGTCCAATCCCCCATCATGTCCATGCGACGCTGTGTAGGTTGGTATTGAATCTGTAAAAAACAACTAGCAACATGAACGGTCGTATGGTGTAGTGGTTATCACGTTTCCTTTACAGTCTCGAACGCGTACGGAAAAGGCCGCAGGTTCAATCCCTGCTACGATCAATGTTTTTGTTTCTTTGTCAATTCATGGTTGACACGAAGACGCATTTCTTTTTGGTTGGAGGGTTGTCTGGGTGTTATGTGAGTTAAAATTTTGATGGTGGAGTGTATTTTTTCATTCCTCCGGGGGTAGGCGGTACGTAGGGATATCATTGGCTGTGAATCGTCTCATGATTTAGAAGTCAACTTTCAAGCCGACTTTGACTACTTTGTATCCATTACGTACTGTACCTACGTACAAGCATTAACTACTTTTGTGTTGCTAGGCTGGGGACTGGATCATTCTATTGACAGATGAGTATCAATCAATCTATGATACAGTGACATTACTCAAAGTACCAACACATATTCAACCAGTTTACTTTCGACATACTACTCATACACCCCCAAGATTCCACATGATGATTTTACAACGATTTTTTTTTGATTCCAACTGTCTACCTATTTCTTCTTCCCAACCTTTGCCTGTTCCTTCCTGCCATTACTCAACGCACCGGTACTTCCCCCACTCGCACTCCTGGATATCCTAGTTCTAATCTCTACACTCTCCAAAGCATCGATAGTATGATCGTAAGAAGTTGGATCAATTCCCAATATACCACCATTGCCGCGATCACCAGAGGCTGAGAACTCGCGATAGGCATATTTCCAGTCGTCTAGGAAGCTGCGAACTGCGCGGGATAGCTTATCTTTACCACCCTTGGAGTGATGCGCCGTGCCGACGATTACATAGAGAGGTTGGGGATTGGATTTACGCTCGACTAGGATTTCTTCTAGGCGATTGATTGCTTCATCTGGGAGGAGACCTGGGGAGGCTTGTTAGTTGAGTTACAAAATTACAAAGTTACCACACCACCGCTGGATGGAAATGATACATACCGTGAAGGTCAACAAAGATTTCAGTCTCCGAGTCTACGTTCTTGTTTCTTTCTTCATAGATAGCGATTGAGGCCTCCTTATGTGCCTTCACCATCGCAGTATTTTCATTATTCGCTTTTCTCGAGAATTCCTTCGCAGTTTTGGCATCATTCCTTTGCCATGCCTGGCTTGCGGACTGTAGATACTTCGCGCGTAGCATCCCGTGGTTTAAAGCATCCTTCCGATGTTTAAGGTAGAGGCGGTTAAGCGCGCTACCAGTTTCCAACCAGGGTATCTGTTGTGGAGCGGGAATGTGCGCAGCGGAAGCTTTCGCACCTCGCTTGGCGTTGGGGGATGTAACACCTGTCCAACGAGCATTTGGACCTGGAGATCCCATGCGAACAACTTCTGCAAGAGATGAGGGTCCTACGGGAATTTCATTCTTGCGTCGGTCACGCTTTTTGGAATTCTTGACGCTGCCGAGAGATGGGAAGGCTTCGGAATCATCAACTGCTGGTACCATGGAGTGGTTTGGCTCGCGGTCCCTAGAGTGTTGTTGCCGAGAACTGGGACGCGATGGAGTAAATTTGAAGCCTTGGGGAGGACCAAGAGATCCATTCGAACCTGACCAGTGATCATTGGATCCGAGAGACGGGAATGAGGAGACATCTTGGAACTGGAGATGCGGTGGTGGTGTGGATGTACGACTGCCATGGTCGGAACCTAGCGTCATCTTGGACACAGACATCGTCGGGTCGTGCGAGAAGATACACGTGTCCCCGGCAAGGCAGGATCCCATGAGCCAGTATTTGCAAATTGTGGTACCTAGATCGTGGGAGAACCTGCAGTCTGCCCTCAAGCATTGTCCAGTTGACAAGAAAAATCGACAGACGACACCATTTCTAGGAGTAATGGGCCGCGACTTTTCTGGTGATGGTGATATGGACTTTCCGATTATCGTGGCGTGTTCAGATGGTGCGTTCAAACGGTTCGTGTTGCAGGAAAGTTGCATTTGTTGTTCCATAAGCATCGCTAAGGTAGCGCTTAGGTCGTAAGAACACATTTCCAAGGCATGCTCAATCTGCTCATCGCTACGACCCTCGCCGAGAACCGATCGAAGCATGTCATGTGGGGACATGTTCTGGGTCGGTGTTCCGTAGAACGAGCTCTCATCGTCGATGATCCACTGGATCGTGTCGGTTCCCAGATCATCATAAGCTGCGGAAGGCGCACTGGTGACATCTGCGTGATGTATCACGGGCTCGTAGTTGTTGAGAGTTGGCGAGTGGGGAATCAGTGGGGATGAGTAGGCCAACCTAGGGCTGGGGCGGGGTGACGGGAATGGAGAGCCCCTCAGAGACGGAGGGAACGCATTGGCCAAAGGAGGGGTACCACTTTGTGACGGAGAGGGAGTCCCGACGCGAGCGAACTGCCAGGGAGCAGGAGACGATCGACGGATGATGGTATGATTATGGCGAACGGGAGGCGATGAGGCGGGCGAGCCTTTCGATCGATGGCGCCAGAGGACGTCTATAACTTCGTTCTCCAAGCTGCTTCCTTCGAGATCTGTCTTGCTAGAGATGAGTTCGGAGATTCGCTCTGTCTGATCCTCTTCGAGGATGCTGTCGTCTAACAGCGACCACGGAAGGTTAGCCGTGATTCCTAGGCCGCAAGGAACTCACCGGCCCACCTTGAAGTATGGCCAGGCATTCCCCGAAGAGCTCGTCAGAAATCATGGCTTCACGCGTGAATGCTAAAGGCGGCCGTTTGGTGTTGGTAGCGCTCGCGGGGGGCGCGTTGAATAACGGGTTGACGATCGGCTTAGCAGGAGCGAGGGATAGCTGTTCGGCAAGGTGAAGGCGTTCTTTGAGTTGAACAAAGTGGTTAGGGTGAATTTGAAACGAATAGTGGGGGTAAGAGCGTCGAGCTGACTATCTATTGGCTGGAACGTGAGCGAGCGAAAGCGCGAAGATAGCAAGACGAAGTTTTCGCGAAATGGAGAAACTTCAAGAAAAGAACGGTGATGGCCAGGAGGTCAGTTATGGTGCTGGGGATGGGGGAGCGATTGCGAGCACAGCTGGAGCCTGACGGTGCGGTGGAGCTGAGGGGGATTAGTGGGTTGGTGGCCGGTTGGTATGCGCTAAGCAGGTCTAACCTGATTTGCGCGATGAAGCCTCCTGCAGGAGGGGTATTAGCCGGATGCGGTTAATCAAAGTCAGAAATACATTCAGATTTGGAGATCTGGCGGTATGGGGTTTGGAGATTTGGAGATGGAGGCAACACATCTATTTCGTTGTTCAAACTCGTGGGGCTCGACTCTGGCTGACAGCATCAGTCACAACACATCACGCAATCCGGATAACAGCCATACCGAAAGCCTCCGAGACAGAGATACGGAATGAAATTAAATTCCCGATGGTCAGGCAGCCCTAACACGATAAGGATTATGTACACGGATTTCCAGTTTAATCTGAAACAAAACTTAACCCGGTAGAATACGTGGCAGTTTTCTCAACACCAGCCGCTATAGAATTGAGGCGTTTAATGATACTAAAAGCGTCGATTCATCAGCCAACACTAGCGAAACGTTACACAAGGCTGCCAAGGTGCTTATGATGATCTTACATCAGTTGAACGGCTTCCTTGCTTCAACTGTCATCGCTTTCTCCAAAATGTAGAAACAAAACAGGCATATCTCACCGCGGAAGCAAAAGGTTGGCGGGAGCTACCAACCTCGCCAGGTTAACCCATGCTAATTGTGGCCCAAGGCAGTGGAAGACGCGGGAGCGCTTAGATGATAGCGTCTATTCATAGATGGACAGCGAATCCTGTTGGACATTCGTCATCCATCAAGATGTCCAAGGTAACACTAGGATTTCGAAGGCACGCCAATAGTTTTGAGTTGACGAGATCCACGACAGATATTCTCTACGTCTTCGTTGTTTGAGTAGATATAGACAAGTGACTTCGAACGTTGGTGACCTGACACCAAATCCTCAACTTGGAAAAGCGTCGAGGATTTATTCGAATGACGAACCATCATTTCTCAAAATATTTGAAGATTGCTTTTACTCTATGTACTCTATTATGATTACCCATAAATATTTTAATCCATCCATGATTTCCCTTGTAGTATCAAATTCCCAGAACTCCTTTTCAGAATGCCCCACCATGTCTATTTTACATCCCAAATTCCCATCGGTCCCAGAATAACCAAAATTAAACCTCTTCCTCACTCTGACTCGCCGGAAAAACCTTCTTAACCTCTCTCTGCACTGATTCATCTTTCTTGCAAACCTGCACGGTGACTACGCTAACTAAAATGATAGCTATGCCGATTACACTCATCCCACTGGGTAAATCCCCCCAAACCACCAGCTCCCAAAACAACGCAAAGATGAGCTGTGTATAAATGATCTGGCACCCTCTTCCTCCCTTCTCCTGCTGCAACCCCTTCGTGAGGGCCCATTGCATAACCCACCCTCCTCCTCCGAGGACCATCGCCAACGTCCACTCCACAGCACTCTGCGGCAACTCAATGCCCGGCAGAGATGGAATGGCAAGCAAGCAGATTACAGATGCGATTGCCCCAACCCCGGAGAAGTAGGTAACCGGGATCAAAGCCGGGGTTCGCTTGCCAATCCATCGGAGACAAGTCATAGCCGTCGCGGAACCGCAAACACCGACAAGAGCGATAGCGACGGCGACCATACGGCTTGAGTCAGTAGGGCCTGGGTTGTTATCGCCATACCCAAACAGGAATGGGGGTTGTGCTATCAACAAAACACCGCCGAAACTGACGACTGCGCCGGCAATTTCGATTCTTGTAAATGTCTCCTTTAGAGGGAGAAGAGCGCAGCCGATGCCGACGAGGGTGGGGGTTAGAAAGGAGATGACGGTTGCGTCGGGGAGGGGGAGGCCGGTGAGCGCATCTGTGAGTTGTGTAAGCTTTCCGTAGGTTCGAGGTTCAGTTTGCATAATGGAACAAGTGGGGATACGTACAGTAGAAGCCTAGAACTCCAATGAAGCCACCGATTCCTCGGACTTGGAGTAATGGCTGCAGCTTTCGCTCTCCGAGGGGAAAGTGCGGGACTTTCTTGTAGTAACCCCAGAGTAGGCAACCGGCGAACGCGAGTGTCATCCGC